TCGTTCGTCACGACTTAAATCCTTACATCTTCCAGGCTATTTCTTCCAGGCTATTTGTATCTTCCAGGCTATTTGTGTGATCTTTTCACACGAATATGAACCCTAAATTAATAAAATTGACAGGATGAAACATTAAATTTTTTCTCCTCTAAATTGAAGCCAAATAGTAGGATAGCTTGGGAAGTCATCGAGGTTCTTCTCAGGATTTGTGACATCCTCTAGTCTCTCTTCATTTGGATTCTCATTTGGATTCAAAAATAAAATTTTTCAAATTTGAGTTATTTTCCTTTCACACCACTTTGTCGGATCTCCTTGAAAAGTCTTATTCTTTTGAATTCCTTGAAGATAATATCCCCTGATTTTTATGAAGAGTTTTCTTAGGTGACTTCGATTATTTAGGATGTAATTAACTATAGGAGTTTGCCCTTATAGAAACATTTCCGAACGCAACTTAATATAAACATTATTTAATATTTCATATTAAATAGGAAAACTTATCGACTTATAATAAAAATGGTTTTGCAGAGCATTTCCGAACGCAACTTAATATAAACCTTATTTAATCTTTCATATTAAATAGGGAAACTTATCGACTTATAATAAAAATGGTTTTGCAGACTGAACGAATGTCATATAATCTTTAGTTTATTTAATTGGCCTTACTAGTAAGTAGTGTATTTATCCTTTGGGATGAATACCTTATTTGCGGTATTAGGCTCGTTTATTTAAACTACTAAGGATATGAGATCGGTCTAGTCTTGTATTTTCAAAAAATCTAAAATACTTTTTTTTTCCAAATTATAATATTAAATTAAATTAAAACGGGTGTTGTGATATCCATCCTGGCAACCAACAACTTCACAACCCCCCAACCCTTTTTAGTGCCGACACATCCAAGGCCTTAAAATCTATAACAAGTGTTTCACTTAAATTGTAACGATTTGACCACCCAAATGACACATTATTTCATAATGATAAGTATAATAACTTTATTTTTTCTATTTATCTACACAAGTTCCCCCATTTTGGTTAGAACAAAACCATTAGAGATTAAAGAATCAATATGCACAACAATATTATGATGTAATGAAGATATGTGAGAGGATGCATCATACAAGTCTCACAAACAACCAATTTTAGAAACATTTTAATTTTCTTAAGAAATAAATAAAACATCCAGTGTATTTATTCCTTAAATTGAGAGCATATACAAGCCTTATAATGACAATCAAGGCATAGCTTTCTAACAAAACAAAGAATAAAATTTTATCATTCTCTTATTCTTCTTGTAATTGCCTTCCAAAAAGATATAATTGAATTGAGAATATAAATATGTTTGCTTAAAAGCCTTTGGACCGGGTTCAACATGCACATTTATTCAATTCGCTTAAAAGATGAACACGTTCAATAGACGAACTCATTTAGGAGATGTCCTCTTCTAGGAGTACAACTCTTAAGAGATAATGCACTTATCCAAAAGATGAACTCATCTAAGAGAACAAATCTCCTATAAGATGAACTCTCCAAAGATATGACATTGTAAGAAGATTAACTATCCGCAAAGAATCAATAATAAGGGAAAATTACCAAGGCATGACATTATCAAGAAAAAAGTCACTTCAATATATCCATGCTAGAAAAAAAAATAGAGGACATAACAAAAAAATCTTGAGATTCAGGTGTAATAAATACATTATTTATAAATTTATAATGTATAAACTAAGTCACCTATATATAAGGATGTTTATTACAGTAAAAGAGATTGATCATCAATCACTGTAGAACACTCATTTTGAAGAAAATATTTTATCTATTTTTTATTCATAACTTTTATATTCTAACTCTTTCATTAGATACTCCAATCTACAAACAAAACATGAACCGATATCTTAAAAGGTATGATGAGTTTCGAGCATGCCAAGATTTGGGGAACACTTACACAATCATTAGAATCATATAACAAGAAAATTCATTACAACATGGTTAACAAAGGGATAATTTTTTGACTTTTTCTTTTTTTTTTCTTTTATATTATTGGTTAATTCGCATATCTAAATCAATGATTACATAACTATATACATATATAATAAGTAATGTGAACATTACTTGTTATATTGGTGAGTTCACGAAAAGCACTCATAATACTTATCTCATTTATAACTTTGGTAACTCATCCCTTATCATCAAGTTTGCATAGAATGAGAAAAATTGTCTAACCTTTAGTGCTTACTGGCCTAATAGCTAAACACTAAAGATGAATTTGAAAAATTATTTTTCCCAAATATAGATTGACAAAATAAAAAATGAAGATCTTTAATATAATAATTAAAGGAAATGAGATTTTAGCATAAGTAAGGTTGAGAAGTTACGATGACTACTCACTATAAGAGTGTTATATTGACAAAATAAAAAATGAAGATCTTTATTATAATAATTAAAGGAAATAAGATTTTAGCATAAGTAAGGTTAAGAAGTTACGATGACTACTCACTATAAGAGTGTTATAGGCCCTAGGTAAAGGATAGTCCAAATTTATTAAGAAAATCAAAATTCTTTTACAACAAAGTTACATCACAAAAAAAGTCAATCTAGTTGCATACAGGGGATGAAATTTCTTATAGTAAATGGAGTTCACTAATAACACTTGGGGAACTCATCTGACAAAATGAGTTACCCATTAAGTCAAACAAAATAATATTATTAAATTAAAAATAAATAATAATTAGGTGGTTGAGCTAATAAGTTATAAGACTACTTCAAAAGGTTAAGCTTAAATATCCTCAATGCAGAATATTATATATGCAACCAAATTGCTCCCATGATAATTTCATATGGAAAAGCTAAGAGCTATCTATTAGATGGACAATCAATACTGATTGAAATCCATCAGTTATGTTTTATTTAAATTATTTCCTTTTCAAAAAAAACATTAAACAAGTTTATTCCTTAGAAAGGAGACACATGCATGCCACATAGTGATGAATAAGGCATAAGATCACTAAAAAATGAATAAATTTTCACCGTTCCCTTATTCTTTATGAAGTTGACTTTTAAAGATATAAGAAAATCAGAGAGCTAAACATGTTTGGTTGAAAGTTCAAGGTATGAGGCCATTCAACTCGCCTAGAATTTGAACACTTATAAGAGATGAACTCATCTATGAGAACACCTCTCTTAGTAGATGAACTGGTCTGAGAGGCAAACTCATTCAAAAGAACAATTCTCCCAAAGGATAAACTCTCTTCAAAGGTCAATTATCACAGGAGAAGCATTTGTAAGAAACAAAAGTAAAGACAAAGCATTATCAAGATAGTGTTAATTAAAATATTCATGCTAGAAGAAAAAAAAAAGAGGATGAAAGAAATATCATTGAGATTTATGTGTAATAATAAAATTATTTGTAATGTTGTAACATTGGAACTCACCTATAAATAAGGGTGGTCATTATATGAAAGGGGATTGATCTCCAAGCATTGTAGAACCTTCATTTTCTAAATAATCTTCTTAATTTTTCCTAGTTCTAACCATTATATTCTAACTTTTTTCTTTGATCAGTTCAATCACAAACAAATCAGGCCGATCCAAAAAAAAATAATACTTAAATTTTAACATTTTGATAGCCACATTGACATTTAATTTTCATCACGGTCATGGGCGAACCTATATATTGTTGAGAGGGGCAATTGTCCCCCCTAAATTCTGAAATTTCATTAATAACAATAAGGTAATTTGATTTTTGCCCACTCTGAATTTATCCCTTTGCCCCACTTTCCTCTAATGAACCAAGCCAAATAATATATTAATCAAGTCGATTAAGTTATATAAATGCTAACTTTTAATCCTTAATAAATCTAAATAATACAAATAAAGTTACAAATTAAAATTTTTAATTTAATAAATTATTTATTTATATAAAACAATTATTTCTATGAAAGCTAAGTGCACATAAATTGCTTGGTAGGGTCAACTTTGACTACTACTTTGAATTTAAATAGCAATAACATTGAATAGCTTTGAGATTTGGGAATAAATAGTAATTTTAAAATGTCAAATGTGAGCAGATTGTGGAATGGATCTCCTCGCCTTTAAATTTTAGGTACATTTTCACACATACCACCCCATTTTTATGTATTTACATATCTAACACCTAAAGTGTTATCATTACATTTATACTATCCGAAGCAATCATACCACATCCAAATATATCACTTTAACTTTTAAAAGTAAAACACACATCTTATTGCACAAGTAATGTGGTGTATATGTAAAAATCGAAGTTTAGGTGTTAGATATGTGACTACATGGGAATTCAGTGGTATGTATGTAAATCTTCCCAAGTCAAAAACACCTTTTATGATTTTTAAATGAAACCAAATAGGAAATAAAAAAAATATTGAAATGAAATCATAGTTGTTTTAAAGATGTTGATTTATTTAATAGTTTTTAGTAACAAAACCCTCAAAGATTGGAAAAAGTTATTCCATAGTGCATACGGTGTCCGATCTCTACAGTACATTGATTTTTTTTTTCAAAAAAAAAATTAAAAATGGGGCTCACCGAAATACATTTTTGTTTTGATGAACGATGAAAATCGGATACCGTATGCATTTCTACATGCGGTGTCCGTATGAAATAATTTTTTTCAAAATTGAAGGATATATGAGAGGATGTATCATCATACATGTCGTTTTCACACACATTTATGACCCAATCTAAAATTCTAAATCAACTTGCACAGGGCCATGCACGTGCATGATAATTTATCAAACTATTTAATTAAAAAAATCATCTTCATTAATTCCTCAATCTTATCTCGGAATAATATAATAATTTTAAATTTCTTCTACTTAAATTTCGATGAAGATAGTTGGGGTTCACATAACACATACGAACATTTCAATTCAATTCCACTGGAAAGTGATGCATCAACGAAATGACGCCCTTTGGAAAGTGATACTTATTGTCAGGCTAACTATAGTTGTTGCCTCCAGCACAAAAAACGGCAAAAAATGGGCTGCTCATTTCTAATCCTTGCCATGCGAATCTTTTGCTTCAGCGCCATCATAGCCCTCGTCCTCTTCTTACTCGGCGCAGGCACTCTAATTATTCTCCACATCTTGATCATTGCCAGGGCTTGCCGGCAAGCTCTCAGAAGTCTTGTTAATGGTGGCGAAGGATTCGTGGGCACCGGCAACGGGCTGTCTGTCAAAGAACTCGAGAAACTCCCCGGCTTTGAATTCTCGACGCCGGAAGAGAAGGGGGGCGCCAACTGCTGCGCTGTTTGCTTGGAAAGTTTCGAGTTTGGAGATCGATGCCGGCTGTTGCCTGCTTGCCATCACAGCTTCCATGCTCGTTGTGTAGATTGTTGGCTGGTCAGAAGCAGCATCTGTCCAATTTGCAGGTGCAGCCAGGTCGCCGGAGGGGCTGGCAATGAAGTGGTGCCAAGTTCTGATTAATTCTTCGTTGGTTGGTATAATTTTTTGGATATTTATTATTGTCTGCAAGGATCGTGTCTCAGAGTTTATTGATGCATATGCGCCGCTGAAATTAGAGAAATACTATTTTTTTTATTTAAATAGATCAGCATGTGGTTAACATCAATCTGGCTTTCTCTGAGCCTATGTATTTTATTGAATTATGGTTTTTCAATTCTTGTTTGACTCATAATTATCTCAATCAAAATGATCAAGTCAACATCGTAACTTCAATCGAGCCAGGCAAGTCAGTGAATATGAATCAGCACAGCTGAATATGTCAAGTTTAGTTATGTATTACCCTTGTAATTTACCATCTAGCATTTAATTTTTGTTTATGTGGATCCTCACTTCTAATTATTAGATAATTATTCTAGTTTAAGCTTGAAATTATTTTGAAAAATTAGTCAAAACTTTATTCTAAAACCACATTAATTTTTCTAGGATGTTTTCTTTGCTAAATTTGTTTATTTCTATGTGAGATTTGGGCTGGCATTCTCAAAGACACTAATAAAGTCCACTATAAAATTAAATCTCTAAAGAACTTCATTGTCACCTTTTCTCTCTCTCATTTTTCTTATTTTCATAGGCTTGATTCATATCTATATTTGAGTTTTGCTACTTTTCAAAAGAAAAAAATATAATCAACATATACAATGTATGATAAGTATTTTCTGATTAAATACTAAGTGTTTAATGCTGATTTTTCACAATAGAAAACTTTGAGTACAAGTGATTGCACATGCTTTCTTTACTTGGGGCTCTGAACAACCCTTTATCCATAGGTCGGGATCAAGATTTGGGCCTTATAGATAATGCTACATAAAGGGGTGTGGTACATAAATAAAAAGAAGTATAAAGTAAGACATATTAGTTGCTATAAATTTCAAAAGGCCTATAACATGAGTGAAAACTTGGATCTATAGTTGATCAACTAGAAGGAAGTCATTTATTCTACTCGTTAAGTTGCCAAGTAACACCTAAGCATGGGTTATTAGGCCTAAGCTTGATGACTCAGTGAGTTCATTATGAGTCCAGTGATTTCTTCATGAGCCTACCAAATTTGCCAATAACATGTGTGGCAAATTTTGCCTTAAACTTGAATGTCAATTAATGGTTGATGAGTTAACCTTGTACCCAAGTAACAAAATTGTATCGAGCTTAGCAAGCAAACTCATCCTTGGTACCTTTGGGCATACATATGTTTTCTTAATTCTCATATATCTTTGGGAATGTAATTAAAAAAAAACGCGAGAGAGCGAGAGAGAGAGAGAGAGAGAGAGAGAACTATAGTAAAAATACTCTTGATAAAAAACCAAATCATCATTATGAGTCCAGTTGCTAAGTATCTTGAAGATATGCATAATAGAAAGCAAGAGGGTAATGAAAAAATAGGAAAGTTAATCTTGATTGTATCATGCTGAATAAAATGAAAGAAATTGTATCTACATCTATGCTTACTTCATTTGAGACAATAAAAGTTGCACTGCCATCAATTAGCAAATATTTATGATTTGAAGTCAATGTAGAAATCACTAAAGAATATCTGATAAGTATATGATTTTTTAACATTTTATTTATTTCTTAAGATGGCCTCATTGAATTAAATTTTAAAATCAAATGAGCTTATCAATGTAGTTGTGGAGTTGGCCAATGAGAGGATCATCATGGAATGAAAAAAGTTGCTTAATTCTTATTAGAAAAAGATTTTATTTGCATCTGCTTTTTCACAAATTTTAAGAAATTATATTTTACCACACTCTGAGTGAGCTTGCATGTGAAGGACGCGATTAAATTTCAGTCAACTCTAATTTTATGGCAACATTTATTAGTGGTGGTTCCTGAATAAATGATTTGTAATTATATATTACAGAACTTATCTCAAATGCAATTACGAAAACCATCCACCTTTAAAGCATCTCTCTGGAAAGCTATAGTTGGGGACATTTAAGATGTTTTGTTTGCTTGCATGTGAAGGACACGGTTAAATTTCAGTCAATTCTAATGTTATGGCAACCTTGATTAGTGGTGGTTCCTGAATAAATGATTTGCTATTATATATTAGGGAACTTATCTCAGATGCAATTACGAAAACCATCCACCTTTAAAGCCTCTCTCTAGAAAGCTATAGTTGGGGACATTTAAGATGTTTTGTTGAGACATGCCTCCTAAGGTCAATGTTGAAATGATGCTTGGTTTTCAAATTTAGGAAGATGGTATTGGGGCGAGACACTCAATCTAGTCTATTATGGAGAAGGGGAACCATGCACTACCTATTAATGAGAAGTGGCGCTTGAAGGCCACAAATCTACTCCAAGTTTGATGCATTTAATGTTGTTCAACAAGGGCCAAATGATGTTATTTTTTTCTTCTTTGTATTTAATATACAAGGAGTGTAATGCAGACTATGCAAGAGCTAAAACTCTTTTTTTTTAATCCTGTAACATAAATTTTTTTCAATCATCTCAAGAGATTAAAAACTATTAACCTTTGATGGGTATAATCACAAAAGTGCAGACCATGCAAGAGCTAAAACTTATTTATTTTTTTAATCCCGTAACATAAATTTTTTTCTATCATCTCAAGAGATAAAAAACTATTAACCTTTGATGGGTATAATCACAAAATAATACCTTCAAGGCATTTAGTTTATGCTGCAAGAGACATTTACACTACCTAATTGAGTAATAAGATTTAATTTATTTTGGGATACAATTTTTATTCAGAAGCAAGCCCTTAGGGCAAGTCTGGTAATAGATTTAGAGCAGGACTTAAGCTAGATTTAACCTAAATCTTGTCATGGTCATTTTGGAAAAAAATAAAGCCTAAAATTTGATAAATTTGGATATCATGGATTTTGGACTTAAATCGCAGATTTACTAAATCCCATGAATCAATTGACTTAGCAAATACGGGACAGAGGCTTCACATGAAAAAAAAATATCGATGTCAAGTTATCTTCCTCAATGGTTTCGGGTAAGAGAGGAGCAGGAGGAAGTAAAATGGGAGTTTCAGATCTCCATAAGCCACGATTCTGATGTTGTGTTACTAGCTAGCTCCAAATACGACTATATCACGAGGGTTTGGTTATGAAGGTGATGTTAAGGTAAGGGTTCAGGGAGAAGAATCAAGGAGGCGAGACTAGTAACATAGAATTTTATTTTAAGTTAATTTTTCTTAATTGAATTTCATTGAAGTTCATTTTTTTTTTAATTTAATTGACTAATAATTAATAATTGATTAAAATATTATCAAATTAATTATAATTAAATAGATTTATTTATTTTTTAATTATTAATTAATAAAAAAAGTAAATCTAATTTTTTATTCATCCAATAAATTTATAAGTAATCATTAATAAATATAATTAATAAGTAATTAAATATTCTCTTATAAATGTTAAATTTCTATTTAGTAATTAGTTTGATAAAAAAATTATTAAGTAAACATATAATTATTAGTAATCATATTTTGAAATTAAATACTAATTGAATTTAAGAAGTTAGTTTGTCTAGTTTGAAATATTTTATGAAGTTGAATTTAAATGATTTATTAAATTCTAATATGATTTGATGTTAAAGTCTAACAACCATTATAAATTTTTAAATCCTAACAGAAATTGCCAAACAGTTTCATAGGATTTAATAGAATTTATTAAATCCTTTTAAATTAAATCATCCATTGCTATACAATCCCTTATAGTTAATTACACTCAAAAGGAGGCCATCCCTTATGAACACCCTCAATTAAAATTGTAAATCTCAAGTCTTTATAAATTGAAAAGTTTAATTTTCAAGTTTGACCATTTGGAGTATTAATTGGGATATGCTCAAATTTGGAATAATTATTATTTGAGGCCAAAAGAGAAAAAGTAGGAAACATTGGATGTTGAGAATCTAGGTTGCACTTCAAACTATCTTACAGTTTGGGTTTTACATTTTAGTTTTGGAATTTATTTAGTAATGAATTTTTCATTTTATTATGAATTTGGTGTATTTATTCTTATGACAAAGATCAATGAAATACCATATAAGTGAGGATTTGTCCAGTTGAAAGGATAAACTTGTTTCCTCATATCATAAAATCAAGGTGAGCACTATCAACATGGATATGTGGCTCGAACTTTATCTTTAGGAAGTTAAATGGAACATAATGGTTTTAATCATCTCGCCAATCAGAGCATTTCTGGCCAACTCCTCAAGACTTATAACTTTGCTTAGAAAAGATAGCCAATTAACCCAACTATGCTTCAAATCCATGAGTCCAATTTCATGCTAATGAGATATAGGAAGATTTAATATAAAAATTTAGGAGAATTGAATGAGACTTCTAACTTGAACTTACAGTTCTAGCGGCCCAAATATGTGGTGATGTAATATCCCGAACAAATGACAATTGAACAAATTTATATATATTTTTTTAATTTTAAATAATTTTTTGATTTGATTTAATTCAATAAACAAATGCATGTATGCATTCATTAAAGTTTAAAAATATCACAATTCCAAAAATATTTTGTTTTAATACAACTTCATCAGGAATGTTGACCTCACTTTTCAGTTAAATATTTTCCTTAGCTTATATTCAATCTCATTGAGATATAGTACACTCCTTCTAGTAACACCAAATAATTGAATTAAAATCGAATAAACTGTAACTTAAACCCTACTTGAGCAAAACCTAGGTTAACCTAACTTTGAAATATAACTAAGCAAAAATTGAAAAAAAAAATTAAATAAAATTGAAATCAACCTAACTAAAATATAATCACATATAACCGAATTCAATGAAACACTGAGATTGAACTAAAAATTAGCTTAAACTGAAATGCATACTAAAATTATCTTTTTCTTTACAGCTCATCGTAGAGCTTGGAACTTCATTCTATGAGTTTCAAGATGTTTATTATCATATATAATAACCATGCAAATAAGTCTGATGATTAAATAATATCTTTTTAACGCAAAACTTTTCACTTCAAATTTTCATGCATGAATAGTGTTCCAATCCCCCCAAAAATTTTTATATTCTCCGTAGACAAATTCAATGATCAAAATATCAT